AAGGAAATCCTCAATTGGCCGAACTCTGGTCAGTGCACATGGTTGTTGATTTGTCAAGAAGTGTGATTGTAAACTTATTTATGGGCTGTGGTCAATGGCTTTTCTGGATGGTCAAGGACTTTGAAGGGACTTGACTGGAAAATTGGTCACGAGGCGGTATGAGGCAGAGGCGGTATGAGGCAGAGGCGCGTGGATAGATCACTCTGATGGGTGAAAGAAGGGGTTTGTGTTTCATGTAAATGTTCACCAAAGAGTAAAGGAGGGGTTTGACAATTAAGTAAATAAAAATTACATATTCTACTTGAACCGGTCATCTTCTTTCCCAGCCACTCCCGGGACTGCCCAATGGGCTTATGAACACAGTGGACATACTGGCTGGCATGGAGGTTATGCACAGGCTCCATATCATGGACTTCCATTCACCAAGGCCAGCTAGGTTGCAAATCACTTCTGAGCACCCAGTCTGCCAGCCACAGAGATCAATTCTGAGTCTCTAGTATAGCATCGTTCTTGAAGCAATTAGCTAGCATTCTGGTGGCAGATTGACTACATCAGGCCAGTTATATTATGGGAATGTCAATGTTTTGTCCTTTCTTGAATAGCTACTTAAACTGGATATGGGTTTTCCCCTCTTTACACACAATGTGTCTTCTAAAATCACCATCTGTGAACTTGACCCACTTCCATGGTCATACACAGTATTGCCTCAGAGCAAGGGATTCATATCATAGCAAATGGAATATGGCAATGGGCCCATGCTTAATGGATTTCACTGGTCTTATCATGTTGCCACCATTCTAAGTCAATTGCCATGGTAGAATGTTCTTCTAAAGACACAATTACAACACCAACTAAGTAATAGTGCTTGCAAAGTTTGGACAACGTTCTCTTGGAGGCTTCACATGCTCTGAGCTAGCATCCAGCATATGGTGTTATCTCTCCCATAGCCAGGATTCAGGGGTGGGCACAGAAGTGGCACCACTTACTATTACCCTTGGTGTCTCACTAGCAACATTTTTGCTTCCTCTATCTGCAAAAGATGAATGGCACTGGGAAAAATCTGCTGTCAGGGACCACTCCAGAGTACTGAGAAGCAATGATGTCAGTCTAGAGAGTAAGGTGCGCTTGATCCAGGCCATAGTCCTCACAATTACTTGCTATACATCAGAGAGCTGGAAAATTACTAAGGATGACAGAAGAAGAATTGATGTCTTTGAGTTTTGGTACTGGAGAAGAGTCTTGAATATACCATGGACCACCAAAAAAAACCAAAACCAAAAACAAAAAACCAAAAACCCAACACACTCAAACCAACAAATAGGTCTGTCTTGGAGAGGGTGAAACCAAGTTTCTCCTTGGAGGCTAGGATTTTGAAGCTGTCTCACATACTTTGGGCACATGGCCAGGAGGGACTGGTCCTTGGAGAAAGACTTCATGCTTGGAAGGGTGGAGGGACAGCATAGGGGAGGAAGGTCCTGGATAAGATAGATTGATACAGTAACTGGGGCAATGGGGGTAGGAGTATCAGAGTCAGTGAGACTGGCTCAGTACAGGTCAGGTTTCAGAACTATTGTACATAGGGTTGCTATGAGTCACAGGTGACTCAATAGCATATAAAAACAATAAACCTTTACTAAGAGTCTATGCTATGAGGGTTTAGAGGCCTTGGTTCCAAACAGAAAAGTACTTTTATCTGGTTAGACAACACTGATTCCACTGAATTAGAAGTTAAGAATGCCATCTGATCACTTTCAGTGTCGTGTCTCTGGATGAATAGACCAGAAAGGAGTATTATATTGTCTGATACAGTTGATTTGGATTACTAAGAGGAAAGCAGACTGAAACGACATAATGAGGATAAAGAAGACTATATCTGGAATTCAGGATCTCTCAGGATTACTGTAACCTGTGATTAAAATAAATGAAAACCCACAGCAACCCGATTACAAAATAACTACTAATGGCCCAGACCCTTGAGAAAAGAAGGTTGGCAGCGAGCCATGACCAGCCAAGCTGTTCACTGTGGGCAGAGGAAACACCAAATTCGAGGTGGAGGAAAGTAGTTGTAAATACCATGACCATAGTCATGACCATGAAGTGGCAACAATGAGGACCGTTATTATGGAAAAAAAAATTCATGTTTTATTACATGTCTATAAATATAGAAAATATTTTTGTTTTCCCCTTCATTTTTCCATTACTTAAAAAAAATATAAGATATACACGGGGCCAGTGCATTTCCAGTGTTGGGCACAAGAATAACTTTACAGTTGTCTCTGTCTAGAGAATATGTGTAGTTAAGGGAGAAATATGCAGGCACCAAGCTGACAAGAGGGGCTGTAATGGCTAATGGTATGTGTCAAATTGGCGAACCTATGAGTCTCTGCATTGCCTTCCCTTTTTGTCATCTGAAGTAAGGAGAATTTTCTTCACGGTGTGGGCTGCATCTCATACATGCGGATAGTCTGGCAAAGCTCTCTCTCGATCCTGTGTCCACCTCTCCTTACGTGACCTTCAGTTCTTGGGACGTAAACCAGCAACTGCTGTCCAGCCTGCAGACTTAGGGGTTTGCTACCCCCCACAGCAACTCAAACAGAAAGTATTCCTTTTGACCTGCAGAATTAGATGGGTTTGTTAGTGTCTGCAACCACATCAATCAGAAGAAACCTCCAGGCTGATGTCTGCCCCATGGGACCTCAAACACTCAACACCTGCTTACTGTTGTTGCTACTGAATTGCTGAGTTGGAACTGAGCCATCGCTGATCCTCCAGTGAGCTTTTGGTGACAGTAAATCATAAGTTGCATGGGAGGAGATTGACTATCTTCCTCCTGTAGAGCAGCTGGTGGATTTGAACCGCATACCTTTGCTATGGTAGCACAACTCTTTATCACTAAGCCACCACTGTCTTGAAATAAATCTTTCTTAGCTTTGCTGGGTCTAGAGGACCCAGCCTAAGACACTAGGTTCTATTTGAGTACATTCATAGAAAAGCAGTACATAAGGATGATATTAGTAAGTTTAAGCACATGAACTCTGGACACATGGACAAAGCCCTCTGTGAGCCGCTGATACTGGCCACTTTCTGGCTGCAGTTTTAAAAAGTAGAATCAGGAAGAGGGGGATAAATCCAACACGACTGGGTCTAAAGGTTCCACGACACTCTCAGTGGCATAAACTGACCCCTTTAGAGTGGACAGGGAGCTCTGTGGCCCAGGGACCACCAAGATCTTAGGATTAAGCTGAAGCTTAGGAGAGATCCCCATCCTGGTCCCATCTGGGGGGCCTCTGGAGACAAGGGAAGGATGGAGATTATAGAGGGCAGAATGACATCTGAAGACATCGCAATCCATATTTCACTAAAGCGATGGAAAGGTAGGGGAGGATTCAGGTTGCTAATCAGGTGACGAGAGTTGTGGTGGTATAATGGTTAAGTGCTTGGCTGCTAGCCACAAGTTGGCTGTTCAAACCCACCAACAGCTCCATGGAAGAGAAAATACAGCAACATGCTACTGTCAAGATTACAGCCTGGAAAACCCAGCCATTCTACTCTGTCCCATCAGCTGGAATAAACTCAGTGGGGACAACAACAATCACATGACTTTAAAATAAGGAATGACCCTGGTTTCCATTCAGGTACTTTGCGGGGAATCACTGCTGTTTCACTAGACCACGCAGGACCCCTTAAGCTCAAGGGAAGGGAGCAGGACAGCTGGAGCTCGACTGAGATGGAGGAGCCAGCAGTTGTGGAAGAGGAAAAACCAAGGCTTCCTGGTTTCCCTTTTGAGAAATTACCCTGGGTTCTACAGGAGGACCCAAAGCCATCACAAGGATTCTTAAACACACTGAAGAATCCTTAAACTCATCACCAGGATCCTGACAGAGCAGGGGCCACAGGCCAAGAAATATGAGCAGCTTCTAGAAGCTGAAATTGCTCAGAGATGGATTCTCCTCTGGAGCCTGCAGAAGAGATGTAGTCCTGACACCCTGATTTGAGCCCTGCGAGGCCCATTTCAGACCCCTGGCCTCGTAAGGGCAAGACAATAAACACTTTTAAAAGTCACTGAGTTTACAATATTGGATCTCTTCTAAGTAGGTAACTAAGTAGCTGTCTTCCAAGTTTCTTGGCATAGTTTAGCAAGCACATTTGGTATTGTATCCATTTGCTTAAACATCTCATGGTATTTCAACAATTCCTGGAAATTTGTTTTTCAACAATGTCTCAATGCAACTTGGATTTCTTTGATACTCTTGATCATATTGTACTTCCTGAAATAGTTGAGTCAACAAAGATTTTTTTGTTATAGTGATAAAAAAAAGTCACTGAGTTTGTGGTCATTTGTTATATCAGCAATAGACAACTCGTACAGAATCTGGAGGGTCAGAAGGTACGTAACCCAGACCTCAGAGCCTGTGGAGTGCCTCTGGGCCTGTCCCTGTGTGGAGTGGGAGTGGGAGTGGGGGCGGTGGCCATGACTCAGCTTCCAGGGTCACCTTGGTGGAGAGAGCCCTAGGTGGTGAGTGGGAGGAGCCTGTGGTATTGGCTGTGCCATTCTGTGTGGCATCTAAGACCTTTCCAGGCCCTACCCACACCTTCCATGCACCAACCAGCTGACCCAGCTCTCCCTGGCCCTGGGCTGAAGGAAGAGGAGGGAGAGAAAGAGGAGGATGGAACGCAGCTTTAGCCCCAGCGAGCTGAGAAGGGTGCTCAGTCAGACATGCCTGGGGGCTCTGCCTGTGACAAGGGGCTGACATCCCTGTCACACCCTCTCCCTCCCTCCCTCCCTGCACTCTTGATGAACTGTAATCCATCGTTAGTTTTCTTGGGTGCTGCCTCACTGGCACCCCCCAGAGGGTGCTCTTGCCCTCACTGGACAGAGATAGAGTATGTCTTGGACAGGGCTGGACAGAGGCCTGTGAGAAGCCATCTAACTGGTGCTGATCGGATCATACGCCCCAAGTGTGCGGTGCCCATGGATGATCAAACCATACCAGGAAAAGCTAACCAACCTTGATGAGTGAAAACAAGGAGTGGGCGGGATCCCGCAGCCCGGTGGTGCTGAGGTCAAGGATGCTCTGGATGCTCCAGACTTCATCACTGGACAGATGCCCCTTGATGGCCAGGATGGCGCTCAGGTGGTCTTTGCTGGCAAAGAGAGCACCTGTCAGTCCAGGCCAATCACCAACACCCCTGTTCCCACCTCGTCCCAGCTTCCTATGGCCGCAGACCACGCAGGCAGCTCCCTGTCCACCGCAGTCCAAGTGTCATTGACCCTCTGGTCTCTAGAGCTCATCAAGTCCCAGCCTCTCCTGGGTCTCTGCACTGGCTGCTCCTCCTGGAACACTATTTCCCATGGTCTTGAGGAGAAACCCTTCTCATCTGAAGGTCTCAGCTAAGACGCCAGCTCTCCTAAGAAGCCTTCCTATCGTCTAAAGCTGCACTCCTGTTACTAAGCACATGGCGATAACCCTTCTATGTTCTGCAGCTGCAACTTTGCTCTTATCTGATGACCTTTCTAACTGCTTGCTCTCAAGCGACTGTGAGCTAGCTATATGAGGGAGAAGTGAGACCAAGCTTTCTTGTGTCTCACTGCATCTGAGATTCTGCAACAGAGCACAACACCCAGCAAGGTCTCACTAAATAACTACTGTCGGGTAGGTGCGCAGATGGATATATGAACAGGTGAGTGAGTGGATGAATTGATGGATGAATGGGTGGGCAGGTAGATGGGTGGGCTGACAAATGGATGGCTAGGTGGACAGATGGATAAACAGCAGATGAAAGGGTGAGTAGGTGGATGGATGGGTAGGTGGATGGCTGAATGAGTAGGTGGATGGATGAGTGAGTGGACGCATGGATAGATGAATGGATGGGTAGGTGGATGGATGAGTGAGTGGGTGAATGGACAGATGAATGGGTGAGTAGATGGATGGATGGATGAACAGGAGAATGGTTAGCTGAACAGGTGGGTAAATGGATGGATGGATGAGGGGATTGATGGTTAGTTGAATGGGTGGTAAATGGATGGATGGATGAGTGGGTGGACGCATGGACAGATGAATGGATGGGTAGGTGGATGGCTGAATGAGTGGGTGGATGGACAGATGAATGGGAGAATGGTTAACTGAATGGGTGGACAGATGGATGGATGAGTGGGTGGATGGACAGATGAATGGATGGGCAGGTGAGCAGATGTTACTAGGTGATAGATAGGTGCTTGAATGTGTAGTGGGTGGGTTAATGCATTGGTGTGTAGGTAAGTGGATGGGTAGGTAGATTGGTGGGTGACCTGGTTGGGTGACTGCACCAGTGGGTGGATGGGATGAAGCTGAGAGAGGTTTAGCGGGGTCAGTTCAACTCAGAGCCTATCTAAACCTTCCCTACAATGACAAGAAGGCCCAGCCTTAGGAGGAAAAATGAAAAGATCTATAATATGAGGACAGGAAGTACTGGCCTCACACGGTTGAGGTGATGATGGAGTGAACAAATCCCTGACGGCAGCATCATCAGAGCCAGTATCTGAACTCCCTGAGCCCTGAAGTCCACTGCTTCTGCCCCTCCAGGCGAATGACCACAAATGTGGCATCTATCAGGACCCCGCTGGCTGCTTAGGCCTAACCGTGCTCCCCTCCTCACCTGAAGTCAGGGAACAAGGTCGCATAAGCGGCCACCTCAATCTTGATGGCGCTGGGGTCTTGCAGGCGGATGATCTCAGCCAGCTTGGGGAGGGCAGGGTCCAGCCAGGTTGCCTTGGAGCCCTGTGGACACAGGTCTTGTTGTGGGGATGCTGCCCCTCCCCCAGGGGCTGTCCTGGAGCCTGCGTGGGTGGGAGGGTGGGCGGGGCGAGCGGGCAGCTTACTTTCTCAGCACAGAAGCTCTGAATGTGGTCGGCATTGTTGAGGACGCGTTGTGCCAGGAGCTGCTGCTGCTCTGGGGTCTTGAGGACCAGGCGTCGCTTGCTCAGTTGGACGATGTACTCCTTCACCAGGTGAAGGTGCACGACCCCCACGAGCTCCTGGGGGTCAGACACGGTGGTGTGAGCCAGTGCAGATGGGGAGCTCACTACCTCCAGCCTTGGCGCCTCAAAACCCAAGATGAGAGTCCAGGGAGAGGGGTGCCAGAGCGCGCGTGTGTGTGCGCGCGCATGCTGGTGCATGATCAAGTGTGTGATAGGTACCACTGTTCACTCAGCCACCATCCCAGCCCCTACATGGGCATGTGTGTGTGTGGGTGTGATGGTGTGGGTGTCAAGCTACCCCTCGCTGCCTATCCCTCACCTCCCGGAGACAGCCTTGCAGTCCTGTGAACTCAGGCAGGCTCTCGGCTACCATGGCGAGGATTTCCTCCAGGATCTCTTCTGAGGCCTCCCATTGCGTCTGTGTGAATCTCTCGAACAGAGGCTGAGAGAGGGAGAGAGAGAGAAGGGTTGCGTTGCTGGCCTGCTGAGGTAGGGCGTCACCCACAGACACATACATCCCCACACTTGGGGTGGGGCGGCCAGAGGGACCTGAGTGACAAGAGGACTCCCAGGGGACCTAGGGGCTCCAGTCCCTGTTCCTGGACAGGAAACGGAGGTGGTCTCTCTACCCTTTTCCAAAGTTCCCACTTGGAGTTGGCACAGGAGTTGGGAGAGCCCTCGGGTTATCTGGATGAGTATTTCCTTACATAAAAAGAGTCAGTTCCTGAGTTCAGAAACTCACACTTAAGAGTGACCTTTATTAAAATTCAGAATGGTTCTCAGTAATGCATGCTTTATTGACTTTGGAACATTCATGAAAACATTCTGTGACTTTGTCAATCTTAAGACAAACTGTTTTAAGAGCAGTTTCTTTAATGCCCTTTTAGAATACTGTATCTGGTGAAACAGTCTGTAAGGAGTTGTGCTAACCCCAAAGTGGGTTTTCTCTGGTGGTTCGAATCCACCAGCTGCACTGAGGGAGGAAAAATGGGTGGTCCCCTCCCGTGTGATTTATGGCTTCCAAAAGCCCACTGGAGGGTCAGCTCTGAGTCTGACAGCAGCGAATCTGAGTTTGACGGTATTTTAAATGCCTATTCACACATGCCTCCTCCCTCCAGCATAGAACCATATGTTGTTATGTGCCACTGAGCTGCTTGTGACTCATAGCGACCCTATGTACAATAGCTCTGAACCCTGCTCTATCCTGAGTCAACCTCATTGTCTCTGACACACCTTCCCTCATTACTCCACTTATTGTGTCAATCCATCTCATCCAGGGTCTTTTCCTGTGCTGTCCCTCGACCCTTCCAAGCATGACATCCTTCTCCAAAGACTGGTCCCTCCTGGCTACATGACTAAAGTATGTGAAACAGAACCTCACAATCCTTGCCTATAAGGAGCAGCTTGGTTTCACCCTCTCAAGGACAGACTTGTATGTTCTCTTGGCTTGTTGTTGTTTTTGTTAGGTGCTGTCAAGTACAACTTATAGTGACCCTATGAAAAAAAGATTCGAACCCTGTTCTATCCTGTGCCCTCATGACACTTCCTGATACACAAGGGTCCATGGTAGCAGTCACCATGTCAATCCACCTGGTTGAGGGTCTTCCTCTCTTTGGCTAACCCTCCACCCTTCCCAACATCTTGTCCTTCTCCAAGAAACAGCCCCTCCTAGCAACATACCCAAATTATGTGAAGTGAAGCCTCATCATTCTTACGTCCAAGGAGCACTCTGGCTACACCCTCTCCAAGACACATCTGTTTGTTCTTTTAGCTGTCCATGGGATATTCAGTGCTCTTCTCCAACACCACAGTTCAAAGGCATCATTTTTTTTTTGTCATCCTTATTCATTGTCCAGCTCTCAGATGCATAGCAAGTAAATGGAAAGACCTTGGCCTGAATCAGACTCACTTTAGTCCTCAAATTGACATCACTACTCCTCAATAATTTGGAGAGATCCCTGACTGCAGATTTTCCCAGTGCAATGTGTCTCCTTATTTCCTAACTGCTGGTACCAAGGGTGTTAACTGTGGATCCAAGCAAGATGAAGCTGTTGACAGCTTCAATATCCTCTCCAGCCACCGTGATGCTGCCCATCAGTCCAGGGATAAGAATCATTGCCTTCTTAGACCATAATGCCACAAAATTAGAAATTAATAATAGGATGATAAAGGAGAAAAAACCATATATTTGGAAGCTGAACAACACCTTGCTTGAACAT